AAGGATCCCATCAACAACATAAATATCCACTGGCTCATCACAACTGGGGAAAGATACTGTTTGTTAACTTATTTGGGGAGAACTAGGATTTGCATGCAAAAAAAGCCCTTTGCCTCTTCAGATACTTGATTGGTTTTTCAGATGGTGTCCTACGTGTTCATGCGCAAATTTTTCCCACTCACAATGTGTTCAAGTCAGTCCAGCTTGGCCTTTAATGAGAATTTCAGGTCCCAAGATGCTTCTGATTCTGATGTTCCTCAAAAATGTAGTTACTGCCCAGGCACTAACTTTACCAGGCCTTTTGAGAGAGGAGGTGTTAACAGTGGTAAAAGGTTCTTCAAAATGAAGAGGAGCAGTTTAAAATAAGCTGCTCAGTCTTTATAGCAACCCTTACCCCTATAGCAATCCCCAGTGGCTTTTGACAGGCAGGACCTCACACGCAGCGTGTTTTTGGGCTTGTTCATCCAGTGTTTCAGCAGGACCGGACACTCGTACGTGCGCTGACTCTTAGACCCAACCTGAGTCAGCAGCTTTGTCACATTTTGGAGCCAGGTCCTCCTGCTCCTGAGCTCACAGTCGCACCCACAGGCACCACTCCTCTGAGGAAGGGTTCTTAGGCCAAGAGCTACGGGCCGTGCAGGGAAAGAGGCACTGAAAACACCAGGGATGTCCAGTGTGGCTCACAAAGACACGTGAAGAGCTGGAACAAAAGTTCTCATGGAAAAAATACATCAAGGCAGAGAGAAACTTGTAAACTGAGATAGGTAGACAGAGTTAGCAAACCACCTTTCTGTAACTGGGACATCTTCCTTCTTACAGTCATGCTCTTAGGAAGTTTTGCCTAGGCCTTTCTTGCCCAAAGAAGCGCTTTGCTGCTTTTCTATTGCAAATGAAATGACACCATTAGTTCAGTGCTACTGAAGAGCTGGACAATAGCAAACATGGTGCTGCAGCAATGCAGGAAGAGGAGGGGGAGGGAAAGTAAATATTTCTTAAAAGCAGAAAAGAGAAAATCGCTTTCTAAACAGGAAAGTAGTAGCTTGGAAGCAATTTTAAAATGTATAGTGAGGAAAAGCTTCTGTGACAAGAAGAAATAATGATCTGACTCTTCGTTTTTTAGGAAGAAATAAACAGTAAAACTGCTTTCCTATATGCATAACACTTGCATATTCCCACAACAAGGGAACATGAATAAATTTGCCAAGATAAAGACTGAATAAAAAAATCAGCAAGTGCAAAAATTGGGATTGCCTGAGAAGGCTTCATTTAATTTGTCTGTGTGTACACGATCAGTCTTAATTACAAAATGACATAATTTCTCTACAGGCCCACCCTTGCTTAGTGCAAAGGCTGGGTGTATGGTTCTCAGTCTATAATTTGTTTACCCTCAGCATGTAATCCTATCCCTCCTTTACTGCTTACTAGCCAACCCTACTCTGAAAACTAATGTATTAATGTTTTCTATAAGCTTTTCTAGATTGCTTGTTATCAGAGTGTTGATTTTCATCATAACTATCAAAGAACTTGCCTTTCATACCGAAACATGCCCATACAGTGTTTCTATCAAAGTACAAGCTCATCATTTAGGTGTTTTATCCACCAGATTGAGCTGTCAGCCCAACCTTCTTCCCTAAAACTGCTTTGTCCATCCATCACTAGAGCAGGATTCGTCTCATCTCTTAGAGCTTTGTGCATCTAGCTGTCCAGTTGTGGAGATGGTGGGGGGATATGGACATTCCAAAGTGGGAGACTGAAGGGACCCTGCAACTGTCCCCAGGAGGTCAGCTTAGACCCAATATCTTCCTCTAAGACCAAAAAGTGAATCCAGACCCTGCTGGTTGGTCAAGTATGTCCTGCAGGACAGGGCTCCTAACTTTTGTCCCAGTGTACGGGGTGTCTTTAGATTCACGTCCTGCAAAGCCACCCATGCACCTCTCACACCGCCCATGCCATGGGATGATAGACAGTCCTGAAGACAATCCCTGGAAGTCTTACAAGTCCCTTCAGACTCCCTCCAGCTCTCGGTATATTCCACACATTAATCTCTCCCCAGGCATCATCCTATTGATGTCCTGAAGGTATCATTATATTCCTGAAATGAAAGGCGCCGCACATGTGGGAGGAAAATACAGAAACAAAGTTCATCAGAACTGCATGTGTCAGTAAGAGCTAAGCAGTTGCAGGAGCAACTATTAACTGAGAGATAAGTCCTTAATTATTTAGGGCTAAATGGTACTGGCATTAGAGATACAAAGTAATGCCATACTAACCTCTCACTCAGGGAATACTTATATAGTAAATTGATATCGTGCATGACAAAGGGAGGCATAGTGTAGATTGTTATGCTCATAAGCACTTGGACATACATAGGAAATACTATTAACAAGCACGAGTCAAAATATCTACAAAGAGAAAAGAAAAGGGGGGGTAAAATCTATTGTTAATTGAGGAAAAAAGTCTCAGTTATTTTAAACATCACCAAGATGCTTCTGCTACTGTCTGTTTGTACTTACATTTCCCTATTTTTTCACTTCTCCTGCCTTGCTCTATGCAAAGCCTGTGCTGAGCTGAGAGGGAAAACTGTCTAACTGGCAGGAGTGAGCAGGTGTAACTAAGTGGTGACACAAATAAAGTGCTTTCAAAGTCACAGATTGGACTACCTGGGAGGTTAAGAAAAAAAAACTCTACAATATACAAAATCCTTCAATGCTTGTCTTGCATAGTCTGTCTTTCTTAAAGAATAAAGCACTTAAAACATTCTCAGGAAGAAAAACATTTTTTTTTTTGATTAATAGCATTCTCTTATTCAAAGAGAAAAGGGGCACACATGAAAAATATTTTACATGTTTGAAATTAAGTGCCAGATTTTCAACTGGAGCAGAATAACAGAACTTTCTCCACTTATGGGATGTAATTCCAATTTATATCAACTGAGAATCTGACCCAAAGAGCTCTTCTCTGAAAAACATGAAAAACACATTCAGATTCAGCTCCATTAGATACAAATGTACCAGATTAAAATAACAGAAGTCTCATATTTCAACATAATTTTATCCTCTTAGTTGTACATTTCATCTACCAGATACCTCCTTTCGGGTTGACGGTGGCAGGAGTGAAGATTTGGTGGAGTTTGCTAGATTTTGTCAGTACTTTAAAGATGTACTTGCAGAGCACGATGTTTACTTTCTTCAAGCAGAAAGTGCTCAGTTAGACCTCTAATACAAAACGGTTTTAGATCTTTAGGGAATGTCTCCACATGTCCAGGTGCACATATGTGGGCACAAAGCAAGCGAAGCTGCCTGTGGCAGGCACAGAAAGACCCTCCATGTGGATGCCCTCATCCAGACTGAGGTTCTGCCTTCGTGTAGGTGGTTGCCAGGTTTTAGGGCAAAATGGCACAACCAAGTTGGTCAGGGAAGAGCCCAAGTGGGACTCATAGACCTAAGCAGCTCAGATGCTTTTTGGAAAACCCACACCTTAATTATGTTTATCCTCATGCAAAAAGTACAAAGATCAGCCATATACTTTTCACACAGGAAACATGAACAATCTCTATCAATGGCTGTATCTAGGTAACAAAATCTATATTCATAATACGAAAACAATCTTCAACCACAACGCTTGTGTTTTGTAATGTGGCTTATTTTATGTCATGATTCCCCTTATTTTTTTTTTTAAATTGTCAATATTTTTATCATGTTTTCTCTTTTAGTAAACTTCAAGCTGAAACTATTGCTATGGTCAGATGTGTGAAATTACAACTCACTGTTGCACAGGCGCTTCCCCTTCTGACTTTCAGATCCAATGCTCGCAGCTGCCAAGGCTCAAGCAGTTCCTGCTGAGCCCAGGGCCCAGCTGCCTCTTCTCAGAGGCTCAGGACTACAATAGCACCCGTGCAGCTACCTGCATTCTCAGAAATCCAGCTGGAGATCCTTCCTGCTTTATCCTTGCTGATTCCTGGACAGGTAAAGGCAACTCCTTAAGCATCTAACAAACAAAACAATCTAGCAATCTAAAGATGAATCTAATACCCTCCTAAAACTGCACGTGCTATTGAAGTGAGGCCAATCCTTCAGATGAAACACACGTAAAGAGTCAGGAAGCTCCATGATGACATTTTCACATGCAGAGCTCTGCCTGCAGCTGCACTGCAACCACAGCATTTCAGTACTCACACATTTGCTAGCACCTTCAAAAAGTTCATCTGTAGCACTGGCACTTCTAACCAGCCCAATTATCTCTGCTTATTCAACAATACAAAACACAGTCTCCTACAAATGGCCTGCACAGAAAAAAATGAAGATCCCAGGAGACAAAAACACAGCAAGTTGGATCTTACTCGAGAACCCCACACAAATGAGTAAAGCAAGGAGGATACAGTCCCTTGGTTTAGCAAACAGGGACTAGAAACATGCCCAGTCCTGATCCTCAGGACTATGTGATACCACTTCTTGTAGACCCAGGGCAAAGAAAAAAGCATTCTCTCTCCCCGACCTTCTCCTCTAGGATAAGGGCTGGAGCTGCCAAGAATTAGGACTTTACAGGGAGATGCAACTGAATCAAAAATACAAATCAGGCTTTGCAAAGACAAGTTACAGCTTTCCCAGGACACGGCATTATTAGACAAATAAACAGGTATGAACTGTAGTACACTTCCAAAAGCAAGATTTTATTCATAGCGACCTTTGGAATTTCACTGCCTCTTTGGGGCCTGGCGTGTCAAAACACCGTGACAGCACGGGTGGGATCCACGGAAAGAGGGAGGGAGAGAGGGAGCCCTTCAGAGGGAAGTGCGATAGCATCAGCAGAGGAGCTCAGTTACACAAAAGGAGAGGTGGGGCCGAACCACAGCTTGTGACTCACACCAAGGCTTTCCCACCTGCACCAAGGGGATGGTGCAGACGCAGGGCCACCGGGAACAGGCGGCAGCTTCCCAACACTGCCCATAGGAGCGGCAACGGGAATGGGAAGGAGCGGGCAGGGCAGCAGGGCGGGCTCACCAGAGTGCGTCCTGAGGTGTCCTGTGAGGGCGTCCCTCCGCCGGCACGCATAGCTGCAGAAGGGACATTTGAACGGTTTCTCCCCAGAGTGCAACTTGATGTGCCTCAGCAGGTTCCCCTTCTGGGTAAAAGAAGCTCCACACTGGTTACAGTGGAAGGGGCGTTCACCTAGAAGAGCAAATGGGAGGGAAAGAGCTGTCAAAACTGTCAGGAGATGCATGGAGCCCCTGTCCCACCCCTGGCAATGGTGCTGTTCCGCACCGGCAGGCTCCACGCTCATCCCCGTGGGGCTGGAGGGCCTGTCCCTGTTAGGGCAGGCAAAGCTTCCAGCAGGGATTTGGGGCACTTCCCTTCTGCAGCATCAGCTCAAGGCGGCTAAAGCGGCCCGATTTTCATGAAGGTCTGAACCTCAGAGGTTTTATCCTTCATAAAAGAGAAGATGTGTTCAAAATTTAGATCCAGACCTGTGGTTTTGTGGTATTTATTTCTATGGCTTGGCACTTATTTTTAGTACAGGTCCAATCCATGTAAGTATTCAGAATCGATCGCAACAATTTGTCTTGGACAGACACCGAGGTCTTTGCTTTATACCAAACCTTTTGCTTACATTACATTTTAACTCAAAACCCTTTGGTAAAGGGTGCTTGGAATCACTAGAGTGGTGTACAGAGATTTGATGCAAATGAGGCCTACAAAAGTCAGGAAAAGGGGAGAAATAAGGAAATTTGTGTTCTCCATAAAACTAATTCAAGACTTCCAGGCAAAACAATTCAGAATTTCTCCTTTTTTATTTTAACAGAAACTCCATTGCTTACCTTCCACCTTCACTCCATACATTCACGCACACACATAGAAAAATTAATGTCAAGTGTCCATATTTGCCTGGATGGCTGGGACTAGGAGTGCAACAAAACACCCCATTTTTATTTATGGAAATAAAAAACAATCAAACCCTGACACCGTTTGGTAAGGACACTCAGCCTTTCTCAGTGTTTTGGGGCACACATTCAGCCTCAAGCACAAGTCCTTACATCCTAGCAGGGACGGTGCAAGTCAGCAAGGGCACCTCTCACACTGGCTGTTTGCTCACGTGCCTTCAGAGACACCAATATGTTTTTACCAGCTAGCACCTTAACTCAGCAAGGCTCTTGCACATCAGATTTCACATGCTTAGCACTTGTTCATTTCTTGAGCATATCATCTATTAGAGAGCACTGGGTATATTATAGTGGGGTGTTCTGAGGATGGATTCGCTACCCTGCAGCACAGTTCTCCTGAAAAATTGCCATTCTGCTATCTGCCACATCTCCTCAAAGAGTCCTGCAATTGCCTTAAAATGATCACTCTCCTGCTGGACGAAATTAATGGGACGCTTTTATCAGAAGCGGTTCAAATGCCTAGCGTAAACTCCAGCATGTGTCTCCAGTTGGATGGAAGGAGAGGGAGGAGGACTCCTCGAAGTTCACAGCCCGTGCACGTGTCCTCTAGCAGCCCTTGCTTTGCTGGTGTCGCTGCAGGAGCGGCAGATGGGAACGAGGGCCGGACCCCATGCCGTATCCATGCGGCTCCGCATGCACGAGCTGGAACAGCCACCTCCCAGACCACTGCAGAGGCACCGAGGAACACGCCAGGGCTCCCGCGACCTTCCCAAGAACACCAAGGAGCCCAAAGAGCAAACTGGGGCACCAACCTCTTTCCAGTAAGCCCAACGAGAGCTCACGGGAATTGACAGAAGAGCCTGTGGTTTTCTTTGTAAAGTTTCACACCATGCTCTGAGGACCCGACCAGCCACTACCACCATCTTCTGTAGCCTTCTCAAATGCCCATGGCTGAGATTACCAGGTACAGTTTGCCCCGAGAAAAAAAAAAAATTGTTTTTTTCTTTTCTGTTTTACTTTCACCATCCGAGCGAAGAGGCAGCAGCTCTTCCTTTCACACGTTTCTCAGTATTCAGGAATGATTGCTTCAGTTTCAGGATGACAACATAAAAGGCAGCAGCGAGTTTCTTATCAAGTCTAAAGCCTTTTACTCCCTGCCATGGTTAAAGTGGAGCAGTCCATGTGCTTTGCCCACCCATCCCCAGCTTCCCTCTGCTATTCTCGGAGGCCACACAGGAGCGAGTAGAATTCCTCAATCCACTGAAGCTGAAGGGATGCTGAAAATATCCAGCCAGGACCTCAAATGGCTCGCTCCTTGCCACAGACACAACCAACCATTTTACCTTAACTGCTCTGATACTCTATCTGTTTAAAATCAGCGTGAACTTCTGTTTCCTACTGGTTTAAATCAGGTTAAATAACTCTTTTGATCTGTTTATTATACTCACGCTCCAGCTCCCGTTTCCTGCCACTAGTTTGAACTGCAGGCCTCCGGGGCGGCAATTCATTTGAGTCACACGTTCGCGCTGTTGATGAACAGCTCCTCCGCAGCCCAGTCCATCTGCGAGGCCACTACCTGACGGAGGGACGCTCATAGAAAGCCAGGCCTGATGAGCAAGAGGAGGTGGCTGCTTTGCCACGGACCCGCTGCCCACGTGGGCCCCGCTGAGCCGGCCTCCCTGTCCCTTCCCCTGCTCCCCTTTCCTGGTAGGGCTCTCGGCAGTTCCCTGGTACTGTCGCTTCCGAATATTCAACACTCTCCGCTCACGCTTCTGAGAAAGCAGCAACTTGACTGCAACAGAACAGTAGTAAATACAGCCCAGTGAGCCCTGCACCACGTCTAGCTGCATGTGTATTTACCTTTGGACTCTATCCGCTCACCCAGATTTATTAAAATACAGGCTCCTTTTAGGAAGGACATGTACTTATCAGGGTGAGCAACTGAGCTTTTTAACACCAGACTCTAGAAATAAATGCATCAGTGTCAAATATTTTTAATCTGCTTCAAGTATTAAACCTTTTCTCTATTTTCAAGCTAAAGCAGGGCAGGAAAATCTCAAAGACAGCACGACTAAAAGGAAACAAAAACGCTGAGTGGGGAGAGGGGAAGGTACAGCTAACCAAACAAGAAAGATGTTTCTTTCCAGCTCCAGATTTCAGATCTCAAGTCAGACAAAGCCAGGAATGCCTGGAAGTATTGTTCCCAGCAAGGAGAATTTAATTATATAAAGTTACTTGAGGAACAGACAGGGCAAGCTAAGCCAGAGTTGCACAGTATTATCTTTTCTAAAGGCTTAGGGACACGGGCTTGTGCCAGGGAATGGCTCTGTTAATTTAAAAAAAACATTGCAGGCTTTTACAGTTTTATAGTTAAATAAACTATTAACAGGTTTGATTTCAAATATTTACAACCAAGTTACAGTAAAATTCCACTGAAACTTCCAAATTCATTGCTTAACATGCATCCATTACAGCTATTTCTTCTCCGCAGAGAGCAGCAGTGAAACACTGCAGTTATTTAGATGCATTAGGATCTAAACTACACAAGTGCACTCGCTGCCTTGCAAGCAAACAGCAAGATGAAAAGTGAAGTGGTCCTAAGGAGTCTGGGGTATTAACAAGTCACAGTCCTTTCACAGGAACTCCAGAGCGGGAGAGCTGGTAGTAAAGGAGACCAGCACACATTGATACATCCCGAGACCAGGAGAACAAACTTACTGGCTTCTTATTCTCAAGCTCCCCATCTCACTGCGTGTTTTGTACCGCATCTTGCCCCTTGGCGCTCGCTGCCCACCCCGACACAGAAGCACCGCAACGAGGTTTCGCTATGAGCTACTCTCCTCTGCAAAATACAGCCCTGGCGTTTCTGCTGCATCTGAACACCACTTCAGCTGGCGACCACGAGTACATCCCCAGGCTGTTCGAGTGTTTAAGCTAGAGTCGATCCCAAGTCGCTGGCAAAGTATTTGAGAAGAAATTCACAACTTTCCAAAGAGAGCTGAAGTACTTAAAGTTTTCCCTATTGTTCCCTATGTATTTTCTTATCAAAAGTGTTAGGGCATTTTCTCCAGCCAGAAATCTTTAATTAAAAGTTTGGCAAAGGGAAAATGATTCTCAATCTCACCTGTTGTTTGAAGCACATTATGCCCACAGAGCTAAATAAGACTTCCATTTCCATAACTCGTCTCCTAACGTTTGTCCCACTGAACTCAATTGGAGTTACTTCACAGGATAACAGGCTGGTCACCTTCCTCAATTGCAAAGCCTGTTTATTGCTGCATCAGTGTTCAAGGCCCTTCATGTGAACATTTTAATTAGTTAAAATTGCCTCATCCCAGGGCACATGTGAAGGGCTGGGGCACTAATACATGGGCAGGCAAGGAGCAGCAACGTGCCAGACAAAATGGGGAGCAGCAGGAGTTGCTCCATTTCTCTTGGATTTTCTGGACTATCTAGTCTATGCTCTTAGTGATCTGCTAGACTCACGAGTCTACTAGACTCATCACTGCCCTGCACTCAAAAGCAGTGGTTTTACTTGTGTCTTGTTGCGAAAGTCCTCGCTACAAAATAGTGGTGACAAATCTCTCATTAGAAATTCCTGGGAAATCTTGGGCGATTTCCAAGTGTCCCCTGTATTTATAACCATAGTCTTAAAAGAGAGCAAATCCTTGAGTGAATGTGCAAAACTGCCAGAAGGGCTTAGCTTCTGAGTACCAAGTACCAAAAAATACACCTTTCTCTTGAGAGCAGCTTTGAAAATTTAGGCTCTTCCTCCTTAAATAGAAAATGAGGCTTTTAGAAAAATTAGACAATTTATTTAGGAAGCACAGAGAAAATACCACATTTAGAAATTTGGCCCTATAGTTTGATTCAGTGCAATTCATATTGCAAGAGCTAGAACTCTGCACTAGGCTCCAAATCACAAGTCAAACCAAATAAAACTTTTCTCCTAGAGCAATAAGACAGTGGAGTCAATTGCAATGTGTTAATAATGACCATTTGTGTAAATTCATTCCTAGTTCAACACAAAAATCTGAGAAGCATTATTGTTTTTTTCCTCACTGTCCCCAAATCCTGAAGTCTCCAGGAAGAAAAACATATATACCATTTGGAGTTACAGCCTTACATATGTGCAATGACAGTGCAATCCATGTTAAAGCAGAACTTTGAAAATTCCCTCCCTGGCAGATGATGCATCTCTCCATGACCTCACAGCACCAAGATGCGTGTGAAATCTTGGAAAGGCAGAGATCCAAGGTGCTCCCGAAGTTGGCACCCCAGGAAAGAGCCAGATAGGGTGAGCAATAATCACCAGAGCTCCTTTTTTGGAGACCTACTGAATTACTGACCTTAACTTCTTTCTCTCCCCTTCCCTCAATCCTCCCTGACACAAGTGCCTGGCACATCCCATGACAATATAAAGTGACCGGTCACCTCCTGCCATGACAAAAACACTGCTAACAATGCCGCAACCTATTCCATGTGCTATGGAATAGCAGCTTTGGCCCAAAAGAGAAGGGGAGAGCAGGGATCAAGGCTGCCAAGGCATACGGGGCAGGCCACGCTCCGGCTGCACGCAGATGAGGAGAGTGGGGCAGAGCTCAGCTCCAAAACTTGCCCGTGGCAGGAAGGGGTGAAAGCGGCAGCCGGGCAGGACAGTGTCCCCAGGCAGGACAGTGTCCCCGGGCCAGCTGCCCGGCCCCAGGCTCCCCAGGGCTGAGTGGCCGGGCTGCCCACAGGCCAGGCTTGCCCAGAGCGGGGCCAGGAAGCGGCCGCGATTTCGAAACACTCCGCTTTGGAGGACAGCTATGAGGATGTTAAAAATACTCCTCAAAAAGCACGGATGTGGAAATCCAAGTGAGCTGCTTCTGTGGACAGTGAAGCAGCAGCATGCATTTAAAAAAAAAAAAAGAAAAAACAAGTAGGGGGAAAAAAAATCCCCCGCAAGATTTGCTGACTGGTTTGTGATTAGAGCACCAAGCTGCACGTTAAATGGACTGCCTTTTCTATATGCTCGAGAACCTCTGTATAGAGCAATGCCTCGCAGCTCCTGCACTCAGAAGGGAAGAAAGGCATCGCTCTGCGAGGAGCTGCCGGCGGCCCCAAGGGAAAAGCTGCCCCTTACGTAACTCCTATAGATGCTGCTGCACATACAGACGCTTGTCCCTGCCTGCACACAGATGAGGTTTTGCTCTGTGCACTTGGATCTGGCGTGTTTTGTTTAAAAGGAAAAAGGCAGCCTGGCTATTTCCAAGATGCTGTAATTACTCCCTATCTCTGAAAAATGCAGTCCATTTAATTAAGTACCTACATCTAAATTTAGCATGTCTAATTTAGCCATTCAAGTTCAAGCATGTGGACTCTGATGCACCTACAATACATATGCTCACATATATGCGAGCGCCAAGGAAAACTTTTGGGGAGGTTGACAGCTGGGTGCTCGGTCTGCTACCTCCTCCACTGCAGCACTGTCTTCCTTGGCAGGGCACAGCAAACTGGTCATCAAGACATGGGTTCTCCAGCCGATGCTTTTCCCCTGTTGTAACTGCTGTCTAAAATCATGAACGTATCATAAAGGACCCTGCAGTGCTTTGCATTATACATTTATGCTAAGTTACTATCAATACAACTTATATTCTGGGTATTACCTATGTAATATATATTTATCATTCCTCTGCTCAGTTCTATTGATTTCTTCCCCATCAACTGCACACTACTTGACTGCAAACTACTAGGTTTACATTGGGATTATACACAGGCTTTTCTTACCCTACCTTAAAACCCCACTTTTCTTTCTATATCCTAGCAGATATCTCAGTCACTGTGAGAGCACAGACCTTCTCTCATCTTATTAAATAATATTGGAGAGAGATTAAAAGAGATTAGCTTTCATTTGGTTCAAAAACATGGAGAACACAAACATCCCCTGAGGCTCCAATACAGAACCTGGTGCTTAACCTTAATAAGATTTAAGCATATGTCTTAAGTTAAGTATATATTGTAGCACTTTAGGTGACTTACATGTGCTCAAATATCATGGAAGTTAAGCACATGCCTAAGCACTCTTTTGAATCAAAGGCTCTGCCACATAGACTCTACGATTTAGCAGTAGTGTCTTCTGGCAACATTTGTGCTGTTTTGCTGTTGGAAATCACCAATTTCACTTCCGCAGCAGCTAAGGTAACTATGTCCTAGAGCAGTTACCCCAGCTTGGGGTTTGTCATATTAGCTGAAACCCCCTTGAAATTCCCCGTTTTCTGGCCACGTGGTGCCAGAGTAGTAGAAGTTCTAACTAGTGGAGCTGAGCTCAGGAGGAACCATCTCCAGAGGTGCACGCAGAGGAAAGGTTTGATATTCCTCTTGAATTCTCAAACCCATAAGCCTTGTAAGCTATTTTGGCCTTCAGCCATTTGGAGTAATAATAGTAATAAATGATAATGAGAAGGGAAGCATTAAAAACAGTGCCTGCTTGGCTGGGCACCATGCCAAAACATTGCCTGCTTGGCGAGGGAAGCGAATCCGAAACTCAGGAAGGCAGTTCAGGGGTGGTTTTCCCAATGGAGCTGCAACGCAACATGCCCCAAAAGCCCATGCTGGCACGAGGATCACTGGCAAAGCGTGTCCTCCATGGGGTTTGGTAAGGTAAAACATGGAGAGGCTCAATGTGAAGGCTCAAAAACCTTGCACACACACATACACACACACAACACACCCCCATGCTGGAGATCTGCTCTCACCAGCTTGCTGCTGGTCAAGATCAGCACAACAGGCTGATTTCCAGGTTCCCATGCTGCTCTTAAGCAGCACAGGCTGGTAATCAACGCCAGGAGAGCACAGTGCTTGCCAGCAACCCCAAAAGCAGGGGGAGAACCAAAACAGCACAACCCCCTCAGCCCTCCCCAGCCTCCTGCCACCCATGAATGAAAAGGGAAGAGAGAAGAGTGGTCAGGCAACATCAACATCAGATGCCACAGGCAGTCATCAGATTTGCTTTCAGCTGCTTACCAGTGTGGCTCCTTTTATGTACCATTAGCACATTGGGCCCAATGCAAACCATGCCACAGACGTCACATTTCAGTTTACCATTCGGAAGCCGGATTCCTCCCTCGCTCGAGAGCTCCTGGATCTTTCTGTTATCCATCATCTCATTATGGTCAACAAGGGGCTCTTCCAGGCTGCTTCCTTCATCAAGAGCCCTGATCTCATCTTCATGACACAGGGGCTTCCTGTCAGATTCCTCATCACTTTGCATTTCTAGCTTTACTGAATTTGCTGAAATAAAAAACAACAGTAATTAAAAATGTGTATTTTCTAAGTTCCCAACTGCTAATAACATGACAAATTTTGACCATTACTGGTACTTGAAGCAAAATCTAGAGCTCGAAATAACATGAGTAGTGAGGGCAGCACATTCACAAGTTACACACGGATCCTCTCACAAAGCCTATTCCTCTCCTTTTTCTATTCCCTGTTTTCTCTATTTTACAGCTAAGAAATTAAGGCTGGCTGATACAGAGATCTGCCCAAAGTTGCAGAGCTTACACAGCAGGCTTGAATACTGACCCGCTTCTCAACCTGAAGCACAAAAACCCTCGTCCTTCCTTTCAAGGAGCCAAAGTCGAAAGAGCAGAGCACATCAGTGGGACACGGACCCGTATATTCCTTCCTGCCCGATCTCTCCTGCCTTGTGTTAGGGCATGGGGCCATGGAAGTCTTCCCAAGAAAGAGCTCTGCACTAACACAGCCAGGGCATGGACACGGGCACTTCCCAAGCAGGACTGTGAGCAATGTCTAGCCCCTAAGGAAGCTCATGGGCAGAGTGAGAAGTCTCCCAAACCCCACGCTTACACAGGTGAGCATCCCCATGGAGGGAGAGAAGCTCTGTTCAAGCCTCTGCTGCTTTTTTGCTACCACCTTCTGATGCATGTAAAGGGGATGCTGCCAAGGCCAACAGAGCTGAGGTGAGATGTAACCTGCTGGATTATTCACACCAGCAAGGCACACACCACAGTGCCAAATCTTTCAGCTCAGCCTGTTGGGCTCACCTTGGACTTGCATGATCCCTAGGTCACAGCCTACATCTGTGATTAGCAGGAGCTTGTGGGATCAGCAAAGCCCTTTCAGGAAAATTCAAGGCAGCTTTTTCATGCAGTGCTGTCAGCACAGGACACATGCAGGGACCAGGCACCCACATCCCAGTGCTTGGATGGCTGGTGCAAGCTGCTGTGCCCACGGCACACTCCCCATCCATACAGTCAGCCAGAAGACAAGCCTATGTGTCTGTTTCCATAAGCCTTGATCCTGCTGAGGGGTTTTAAAGGGAGGCGATTCAGCCTCCACATCTAAGCAGCCTTTGACCTGTGCACTAAGGCCACGAGCCCAAGCGCTGCTCATGGCAGCAGGTTTGGCTTAGAAACGCACGCCAGGCCCGGCTGGGTGCCCTGAACACCTTGGGGTGCCCCTTGACGAGTCCGAGAGCTACAAGTGACTGAGCGTCACCCCCATGTGGCCTCAAACAGCTCTCCTGCCAAAACCAGGAGAGCTGACCCCGGGCCGCACTGCTCCCGAGCCACCACCAGGAGAGTCCAGCCAGGCACAAGGGCACCAGAGATGCAGCCAGGGCAAGAGGCTGCTCCGGGACCACGGCCTCGCTCCAATGCCCTCGTGCTCCTCGCGAGGCACTAGCACAGCACGGGAGGCAACCTGCTGCTCCAGCAAAGCCAGCAAAAGCAAGGATGCAGACGGATCACGGCAGGCTAAGAGCAGTACAGGCTCTGCAAGTAGAAAACACCCTGGCACTTCCTTTACAGGAAGGAATTGATAGATTGTTGCCACAGAGATGCATTTATTGTTAAAAAAGGACGGCACAGAGGGAGCTCAGCTGTGCCTTGGCCACAACATGTGCGGAGGAGCTGTGCTGTCCTGGGGCAGGCGGCTGTTTGCATCTACACACAGCGCTGTGGGGAGAGCGCTGGTGCCAGGGACAGCACTCGGCTCTTCACTGCCAACCCTGGGACACACGGTCCACGCTGGGAAATACGCAGAGCAAAACCACCTCTCCAACCTGAACCAGGGCATAAGAAGCTCTCATTTTTGCATGATTCTACCTGCTGCAAAAAGGGCAAAATGCAGGTTTCTAAATAGTCTGCTCTGCAAAGGAACCACCACATCAATAAGGTGAAGGAGAAAGCCAGAATTTGGCCAACAAGAGGGTATTTGCATGGACACGGCCCATAAGTGAAGTAAACAGGAAGATTTGGAGACACCAATTATTGCATGGCATGGAGTGTGTGTTCTCCACGTGCCAACCTGAGGGCACGATGCTCCTCATAGCCAGGGAGAAGGACCTTCAGCAGGACTCCCCAAAAGGGAGCAAGAGCAGGAGCTCAGCCAGCTTTGTGTGCTGCAAGCAAGAAAACCATGCCCTAGGCCCATCGTCCTGCACACAGAACATGTCTGAGATTTAGGGACAATTTTAGAGCTGAAGAATGACAGTTCCTTCTAATAATAGCAGCCTTTGGGGGTATTTCGTAAGTCTGAGAGCGAAGCCCAAACAAATGGTTTGCAGTCTGCAGCAGGATTCAATACACTTGGCCACACAAGTAACTAGAGCAGGGACAGGAATAGAGCTCTGAGAGCTCTGCTCTCCGCACACAAAACCCTTGGTCGCCACCACAAGACTGTGCATTCTCCTTGCACAGTAAGGCACAAAATACCCCAAAAACCTCACGCCAATTGTGTGTATTTACAGATACTCACAAGAGAGACAGAAAGCTTGCACTCTACATATCTCCTTACATGTCTTGCATAATTTTCGGTCTCCCTCGCTTTGACGTGAAATAACAAACGCTTGACTGTGAGGAGCGCAGAGCACCCCTAGGTCCCCATGAGGTCTGTGCAACTCAGGTTGCCGAGCACCTATAGATGGAAGGGCCTAAGAGCTTATACATCTTGAGCAACGTGTCAGCCGCCCTGCAATGTGGGGCAGGCTGTTAATTCCCTGCCCTTCCCGCACCCTTGCACGGGCACCGCAGAAGCCTCCGCAGCTCCCGTTGCTGCAGAGGTTCCCTCCGGCCGGGGCTCGTTGCAGTCTCCGAGGAGGGGAATGTGGATGCTGCAGGGACCACCTCAGCTCCGCGCCACGGCTTTGCTGAGCAGGTCACCTCTGCTGCCGGTATCAGCCTGCTGCACATATAGGGCCCATACAGCAGCCCGCACACAAGCACGCGCTTAAACCACACACAGTTTATTCTCTGCTCTCAACCAGCCTTTGAAACTACACTCATTTTATGGAACTGTTTCCACCTACAGCCACAGGCTTAGGGAGAATAATGAACTTTGCTACAGAGAGAAGAGGAGCATTAAGGGATGTTTGTGGCGACCCCTCATCATGCACCGTCTCCACATCAAAATTTCACCCCAGGTTCCCTTGCCTCTCTTGTTCACGTGCTTGCTAAAAGCAGCAGGTTCTCATTCCTTGAGAAAGCAAAGCATAAAGAAGTAAATTGAGGTTTTTTTTTTAAATTAAAGTTTTTGACAGAGAGATAGCAGGGATAAACTGAATCCAGCATACCACAAAAGCATCAACTTGAAGTGAAACATTTCCCCCCCTCCCCATAATATCCCTACTTTTTCCCAATCCGCATCATACGGCACCTCCTGCTCATAACTGCACCTTGTGGGAGAAAGAGCTCGGCAGCCACAAAAGCTTCCACCTATGCACGACAAGCTAATGGGACATATTTAATAGACCACACAGCAATTTTTCTTCACTTCCTTCTCCACAGCATCAGCCAGCCGATCCTGAATCACACTTTATTCTGAGTGGCCAAATTGAAAACAATTATTGTTAATGCCTCATAAGGGCTAATTAATCTGCAATTCCCTATTAAACAGCATTTTGGCAAGTCTTCAGCACCAAAATATTTTCTTCACCCACAGATTAGAGCTGCTACAAACCAGAAGATGGATGATCCACCATAGAAAAATATGCCCAGTATTTTGTCCTCTGCAATGGAAATTTGTTTCTCTCAAAAGTGACACAGAAAAAAAGAAATCCTTCATGATTTACTGAGGGACATGATAGGCTAGAAAGTACGGCCCTCTACTTGCTTTCTGGGGGGAGAAGCAGCAAGTGTGAGGGCAATTCTCACCCTGGAGCAAGACCCTCCTGTGCAGCAGCGGGGTGCAGGCGGCAGGGCCGTGTCTCCCTGTCTCCTCTGCTGTCTGCCATCCCAGGTCACCGCTTACTCGGTCTGTGGCCTCGGAGAGCCGGGCTGGTGCTCTCACCGAGGGTTTGTGGTCTCCAGCTGGAGAGGAGATTTTCCTGGCAGCGGCCACACACACCACCGCGCTCCTCCCGCTGCTCCAGTGCGAGCACGGCCCTCAGTGCTCCCTGCCTCTTCCCTACGCTCCCTGCCTCTTCCCTGCTCCTCTCCCCGTGCCTGCCAGGAATGCCGAGCATTGGCCAGGCTTCACAGGCTCATCCTTGAAAAGGCATAAGTCAAACCTGCCGCCCCCAAAGAGCCTTGAGGTGGCTCTGTGGGCGAACGTGGCCAGGGACGTTTGCCGTCAACATGGACACTCAGCCCAAAGCAGGAGGCTGACAGCACCATAGCTCTCCCAGGATCCACAGACAAGTTCCCTTTCCAAAAAACACTATAATGCAGCACCCAGAGCCCTATTTCCCTCAGTTTTCACACATGCAAAGAAATCCAGGATATTTAAGTGCCTTTCAGGAAAGCAAGACCGAGCTGTAACTACAGCAACACGGCGACAGGCAGCTACAGCACAACCTCCCGCATAACATCCTGCCAATGGTCACTGACACCGGCTATTTTCATCACAAACTTCTCCCAGGCCCTGGATTAATGACACAGCTAACGGCCAGCTAAAGACGAACACAAGAGGAACCAAATTCTTCCAAGCATTGGACCTGGGTACCTAGCTGCTGAACTGCAGCACTCAGGCACAGGCCCCATCTTCCACCCTATAAAAGCACCCGGCAGCGGTGAGAAGACACTTAACGCCAAGAGCAGGGCCAACAATGTGACAGCGTCTGGTAAAACCTGTTGTGGGTATTGGGGGCAGTGGGGCCTCTCCTGGCCCAGCTGCTTTGGAAGCCCCAAGGCGAGGAGGGCAAGCGGAGCCAACGCTGCGGCGCTGCCTCGTGTTTGCTCTCTGAGCACTCGGGGCAGAAAGGGCCCTTGAGGAGGGTGTTTACACCACTCCACGAGTGTAGCGAGCCTCTAATGCAAGTGTAAATACACACCGCTCCCAGAGCAATGCAAAGGGTCTTGGTGAAATGAAAGCTTCACCTCTATATTCTGTCATCGATGGTAAATTTGGCTCTTAACTAATGAGACTTTCAATTCTTTTTTGGCTTAATCAGGAGTTATTAAACATGTAAACATTTAATCTTCCTTTTTTAAAAACACATGAGCACAAAGGGTGTGAATGCCAGCTGGGCAGAGGCAAAAGCAAGCAAGGAATCTGCTCCATAGTTACCTCAGAACCGCAGCAAGAGACAACATCACTTAGCAAAAGGGTCAGCATTAAAAAGCAAATTGACTGGAAACTGTGTTCAGCTCCAAGAAATGAGCCAGCCTCTCCTCCTTTGTGCTTCCTTGGTGCAAAAATTCCCAAGACGCATAGGCAGGATGCTGAGGAACATGGAAAGTCAGGTCAGCTCAAAAGGACAAAGCCAAGTTCTTCAGGAGATACATAACCGTGACGCCAATGAGAAACGGAATAGTTTTAGTGACACCAAAGGTCAACACCACCCAAAGGGCAATTTAAATGGAAACTGTTTCAATTTGGGGTTAGAAAGGTGTATTTCCAGACCGCTTGCACAGATTGAGGCTTTCTAGAGGCTCAGAGAGAATCAGAGCTCTATCTGCATGGAACAAATGAGGGTGAATGTCACCTGCCAAGGAAGGGGAATTACCCAACTCTTTTGTCAAGTGAAAGAAACCTTCCTAAACGGGGCCTCTTACAGCACCCATGGACACCCCCAATGCTGGGTGTCAGATCTCTCCAACAGTTGCTGAGGAGGCTACCAAGAGTCTTAGGTGGTGACACTACGTTGCCACATGGACTTCTGCAGAGTTATGCCCTTTCCTAACAGATACATGAAGCCAAACACTTTAGTGCTAAGAAAAAGTGATTTAGAGGTGTTATGCAGAGGTCTTCTCAGCACACTCCAAATGAAATTCTTCAAGCATGCCTACATGGAGCAGTTAATATTCCAGAAATTCAGTGAGGAATTATCAGTCTATTTAGGCTTTCCTAAAAATTTTAGTTTTCCCATTGAAGAATCTCAATTTAAGCCTACTTCCTCTGGAAGGTATTCAAAGTCTTGCTAAAAGCGAGTACTTATTTCATGTCTTCTTCTGGTGTTGTGTTGGGAGTGTAGACCAACAGGTCTCTTACACCCTAGTTCAATTCCAACTGCAACAGCCTAAGCCCACCTTCAGCTAGGTTTTAGTTGACAAACTGCAGTTGCTGATCCCTGTTCCCTACCCCTAACCTTGCCGATCCTTTCTACTAGTGGGTCTGGGTGGAAAACTAATCCAACTGGAAACCAACCCTGCTGAGGAATCTCAACCATTCTGTGCCCGATCAGGCCCCTGACCTGCCTGTGCTGTCACAAGAACGGCAGTGTTGAAACAAGCAGGGGCCAGGGGAGGATGGGGACACAGCACCTGCGTTCAGACCAGCTTGGGCTGATGTGCAAAGGCCCCCTCAATTTCACTGAATGCCTTCAGTAGCAACATTTTTCAAATGCCGGGCTTTTTCTCCCAACCCAGGTGTCCATTGCCAGGCACAAGGAATGAGGACTGCAGTAGAGAAACCTGTGGAACAACTTCTACGCTGAAAAGACTATACAAGCTTATACAAATACTCAAACTGAAAGGAGCAGAGTTACAATTGGAAGGGCTCGGATTTAAGCAAACAACGTCCTAAGTGCAGCATTAAGACCTATCTGCTCTATCACAGGATGAAATTCTGGGCTGGGTTCAGCAAGAAACCTGCTGAGGTCCAAAGGCTGAGACAGCAGATAAGGATTTGCCCCAAACGCCTGGAGTTTAGGGACAACTGTTTGCTCACCACAAATGACCCCCCTGTACCTCCATCCAGCAACATCAGGAACTCTACACCGAATATGTATGACTGCTCAGTGATCCCTCTCCAGAAGAACCTCAGGCCATACTTCAGCCACAAATGCACACATGTAACTTGTATTTAGCGTGAGCCATATATTCATATCCCAGGGTAAGAAGTTCCCATGACCCATCCTCCTCCTGTACTTACAAAGCAATTAGGGTGCAATAAATACTGTGTTCAACATAATACAAAGCTTCTGCCCTGACTATAGGTGCAAGGCAGAGCTTCCTTATCCAAACATCCCTCAGCTCATGGGGAACATCAGCACTTTACAGAGCAAAAGAGGAGCAGAAGAAAGAGGCACCTGCCTCCCAGCTGCTCTTTGCTTCACAGATGCTCAAGGCCAGGCCAGATATCAGGTTTGCAGCCATGGTTGATGTTTCTCTAAGGTCAAGTAAATGGGAACCATTGAAGAGGCTTTTTTTTTTTTTTTTTTTTCCTGCTCTCTCCTTTCCTGCTTGTCATGTTTTCGCAGGGTGAGAAGGAGAAAGTTTTTCTACCTTCCTCTCCTCTTCTCTAGCATGAAACAATTCCCTTGGACAAACTTCACCTAGCAAATACTGTGCCCTTCTGCTATCCCCAGCACTCCTCTCCATCTCTCCCACTGCTGTACTCCAGCATCATGGATAATTTCTGCCTTTGTCCTAACGGCTTTAGCTTTGCACAGGGAAGGGCAGAGACAACCCTGCTTTACAGTAAGTCCAGTTTTTTTTTCATGGCTGGTTCAAAGTTTACAGCTGGAGCAGAAGATACATTCACTCACTGAGCAGTGACACAACTGCCACCTCTGCACGGAACTGCTCAGAGGCTGCTGTGAGATTTGTATGGAAACCAGTGTTGGAATTTTGTAACGGAAAATGCTGACAAACTGCAGCTATGCAAGGACAGTCTCTTTTCTCTTAAAAAAAGTGAATTATTTAAGTGACCAAAAACCTCACTGCTCCTCCATTCTCAACTCTGCTTCTTTAAAAAGGGCACTACTTCCTAAAATGCCTTCCAACAGACACATATAGCAGTAATTAGATCAGCAACAATTATTCCATTTATAAAGAACGTGCCATCAGGAATTGGCCTTATATTTGAAAATACACCTAAATCCTTTGAAGCATATGGAATCACTCCCTGGGTTGGAACCAAGCTTTTCCCCCCCCCCCCCCCTCTGTATTTTCTGTCTTTGCCACTGTATTTCCAGCACTAGAGACATTATCTTAAACAACTGAGCAGCTTTCATTATGTATTTTTTACCCTCTGCACCATTCACAGCTCTCAGGAAGAGATTTATTTTTTTCTAATGATATAAACTTTAACTCAGCTTAACACAGCCTGACCTAGCCGTGTTCTCCTGCTGTTAAGGGAGGCCCCTCCTCTGACTCATCAACCCTTGGAAAATTATAGGATAAGCTCCTGTCACTGAAATATTTTCTTCGTCACTAAATTGCAGAAAGGAGATTAAGGGAGAAACCTGCTCCTTGTCTGCATGTATGTGACTCAAAGCCCTGTCGGCACCTCAGGAGGCAGGTAGGTGAGTGAAGGGAATGGGCAGATCCCCGAACACACCAGGAAAATCCAGGGGAACCAGATCCCCTTGCAGCTTGGGTCCCTCTCAGTGTTTGGGTATATGACTTCTTGTCATGCATATCACAAGGGCATTACTGTATTAGTCTCCACCTTGGTTAAAAAGAAAGCTTTGCCTAACCATAGCTGACTAGGAAAAGTTCAATGAAAACTCCTAAAAGCCAACAGTAAATGTGGAGCTCTGCCAGCACAGTGCTGCTTTGAGACCTCTTTTTTCACTTGAGATAAATAAAAGAAGGTGCATTTCCCTTGTATTTGTCCCTTTAGTAGCCAGTGGGCACCAGGATTTGGGGATCTGGGATGCAGAGCGCCACATTCCCTGTTCTAACACCCCATCGGTACCACACACAGTGCAGTCAGGCTCCAAGCACAGAGCTCCCTCGCACCCACAGATGCTTAGCAGGAACTATTCCCAAAAACAAAAGCTATCCCAAAAGGTACAGCACAAGGATGGCAGAGTCTGATATAGTCCCTCAGCTTTTCCAAAAGAAAAACAAAAACCAAAAAACACAACAAAAAAAACCCACTATTTTCTATCCATTCTCCCCTTTCAAAAGCCCTTTCAAGGATCTCAATCTGTTTAAGCGCAAAACTTAAGGTACTAAAAATGGGGGAGGGCATCTACGGTGCCTCGTTCCCACAACTTGAAACACACCAGCTATTAACGCAGCAAGATATTTAAATGACTATTCATTCTGATGGTTTTTTTAATTTTTTTTAAAGAAATGCTAGGCTTTCACCTGTATCATTATTATGTAGGCAGCGACAGATGGCAATGGAAAAATATAAAATAACTCTTAGAGTATTAACTTTTTTTCAGTACCGTATGTGTCAGATTCTTTAGCATAAATAAATGGCATTACACAGTCTCATTAAATCTATACATCTGTGTAGTAACTTGCAATTTATGGATATTTTCTGACACAATGTTCAAACCAACAGGTTTAGCTCACATGTTTCTTTTCTCACCATGCCGTCTCTAAGTCACCAGAAAAGCAAACAAAAGCAAAACCCTACAGTAAATATTCCTGAGGAATTCAAAGAGAAGATTTGCTATTCATCATCTACACGTATTGAAGAGAAGGAGAAGGGAAGAGAGTGGTGGAAAGAAGGGGCAGGAGAGAGGTGGCAAGCCAACCAGACCACTAGACAGGTAAAAGCCCACCTAGACTGCAGGTAAAAGAGTGTTTCTTGAGTTTGAATTAAAGCAAAGGTAAGGACAGAGAAAGAGGAGGAAGATCTTCTTGTCAGGGACCTGAGAACTTGATGCGTGCGCCCTACGCCAAGCTGCATCTGACACCCTTCATGGATGCAACACATTCCCACTGGAAATCTGAAGTCTGGCAAGAGCAGCAACTTCAACCTTTTGTCTCCCTTGGTAAAGGATCTGCTGGAAGCTATTTATGCACTGGCTCCTTTCCTCTAGGAGGAGCTGGTATCTCTGCCTATAATTAAGACTGCTTGACACTTCCTACGATAAGGCCCTGTTTTTCACTTGCTTATCCTTTTGCCAGAGCCAATTTAGGCTGAATTTTTAGGCATTATTTGAATTCTTGGGTGCGAAGTTGCAATCAAAACAGTTCAAGTGGTTCTGAGAAGGTTGGAGAAAACAACATCACCCCTTCTTGTGCTCGCAACAGTCGATCCATGACCAACAGGAGGAACAAAACCTGCTTTTCTACCCATTGGTACCGCAGACCCTCCTATGTGCTCTTGCCTCGCAGCAATCCCAGCTTGGCCAAACAGAACGTCTCACGTCTGAGCTCAACTCGCCCTGCTTTGGTTTTGAGGATGGGCCACGTGCATTTAA